TCTCTCTCTCTCTCTCTCTCTCTCTCTCTCTCTCTCTCTCTCTCTCTTTCTTTCTTTCTTTCTTTCTTTCTTTCTTTCTTTGATATGTCTTTCTATTCTAGCAGACCTTTTTTTCAACCAGAACTTCTGCATCCCAGAGAAAGAATGAATCTTTCACTGAAGTTAGGTTTCCTTCCAGTTCTCATCTTTGTGGCCCAAATTATTCTGTTGGCGTTAATGGTGAAAATCTGGCCAGGGGGAGCCCCTGGATTTATCTGCCCAACTTTCACAGGGACAAAAGATTCATTGGGGAGGAAAATCCAGTTGAGAAGATCATAACGAGGGGATCCCAGTCCATCTTCTGAGAAGGAGATTTCCTCTCCAGCAGTGTTGTTGAACTGGACCTTCCTCAAATAGGGTAGAAGCTGAAAGAAAAGAGACATGGTCACATAACTGATGTCAATATGGAAGATAGTATACTTTCTAATAATGACTGATATTACCTTATCCATGTTTGCATGTATACGGATTATAATGATTATGATGATGCTTATATTTTAATACTTTGGACACCTAGAAAAAACACTGTTCAATATAGAAATGGAATTTGTGATACAAAACAATAAAAATATTTATAAAAAAAGAAGTTGGTGTAATTGGCTGAAAGCCACAAATGAGACATCATGGCTTCTATCATTCTGTGATGACCATCATCTTAGGAGACACATGTATGTCTGAGAAACTAGTAGAGAACCTTTGATGGAGAGCTAAGTCATCAGGAGGGACACTGCATCTTTGACTCCTTTCTCAACATGGTCAATGGTTCTCTTTATTATTGGGCATTAGAATCATGGCTACTTCAATTCCACTTTTGTCAGAATGTTACTTACTTTCAAAGATCTATGAAGATTCTCAATGATCCAGATCCCTGAAAAAGACCGGACAAGCATTTGTCTGAAATGGTATAGGGTCTCCCGCTCAATTAGAGGGTTCGACCTCTGAGGTCCCTTCCAACCAGTGGTGGGATTCAACCGGTGTAACACCAGTTTGGTGAGTGCGTGCAGCATTTCAAAACCACTCATTTTCAGCCCCAGTGAGTAAAACAGCCGATGCGTGGCAATCAGTGGTGGTATTCTACTGGTTCCACCCAGTTCTGGCGAGCCGGTAGGAGCGATGAGCAGCGGAAAGTGAACCCGTCCTCTTTGCCACTCTGCTGTTGGGCCCACCCACCCGCTCAGGCTCTCATACTCACCTTTATCTGCTGAATTTGAAGCGCAGCTGCTTCGCACGGCACAAAAGAGTGTCGCGTGGCAACTGCTGAAGCGACCGGGATCGTGCAGGCTTGCAGGAAAGTTAGAACATCTCTGTGCCTGCGGTAAGTGCATGTTTGGTGTGTGCATGCACGCAAAGTGTATGCACGTGCGCAAAGTGCACCCACCAAACCGGTGGCCCACCACTAGCAGCAATCCGCTGTGCTGCACAGATCAGCTGGGCTGAAAAACATGGAAATATGGGACAGACTAGGGTAGGGGCAGGTGGGCAAGGGCAACTAAGCACCGGAATTACCAGTTCACATGAACTGGTCCTTACCGGCTGAATCCCACCCCTGCTTCCAATTCTATTATCCTACATTCTACATTCTGTGTTCTTTTCAACACAAAGTTATACTTAATTCATATTGTCAACTAATAAAGTGTTCCTGGCCGCTCTCGAGTTGCCATAGGCAGGAGTGGGGGGAAACTGACAGAGTAGCATGGCAGCTACATCCAGAAGCACATTCCACACATACTTTCTTCAAGGCTGTATCCCAGGCTATTGGGACCAGCCTGAGAGGCGTGATCTCTACGGCCTGCAAAAGTGCTCTGTTGGAGAATGTGATTTATGACACACCCTTGAGGGAGGGGGGGGAAACAGGGTCATTGGTGGGCTGTAAATTATGTGTTTTTATAAATACTGTTTTAATATGCTTCCAGATTCATTGCTATAGTGGCGTACAGATATTTAATCAGTAATTGAAGAAATGCATAAGGGAATCTTCCTTGCTAAGCATCTGTAGCCTGAGTCACAAGTCGCAGAGATTACCTGCCATGGCCGGACATTTGAGATCCTTTTTCCGAGCCTCTTCATCATTGGTTGTGCACTTGATCCATGCATTGCATGTAAGGTATGTGCAACAGCATAAACAGCATTGTAGACATTGTAACTTTCACCTGTCATGCTTGTTTCAAACACGTAAGATGGCAGGTCCTGTAAATTCTCCTTTCCTGTACATGGTTTTGCCCTCTTTGGAAGGATCAGTCCTGGTTGGGGGATTTTGCATTTAAAGATGTTTTCCCACCACAGTGGGAGGAAGTCATCTCCTTCTGGGTTCAAAGGATTTAAAGAGAGGAGAAAATGGCTGAATTTTGGCACATCTCTGGTGTGGTCCTTAAAATGCAAAGCCCCATGGAAGTACTTTCTAAATTGCAAGACATCTTGAGATCCCACCACACTAAGATCCCAGTGGGAAGGTATGATCCAAACCTTCTGCAGTAATATGGATTTTCCAAACCGAAGCAGAGTGAACACCACCAATGATATAGTACTGGAGTCTCCAAACAGAATAATCCCTTCAACTTCCAGCAAAATCTTGAAAACAAGGCGTATTCCTAATATGTCAATAGCAGGAAGATCGGAACTGAATATTTCAGGGAAGGCCAGGCAGATCTCCTTCTCTTCCAGCAATGGAATCAGGTATGAGATGAAATGTTCTCCACTGTCACCTTTAGAGGCCACCAGTCCAACCCAGTTCCACTGGAAATGCAGGAACAACCGGATTAAACCCACAAACTGGGGAAATTTCTTGGGATTAATCCAGAAGAAGGTAGAATAATCTGTTGTGCCTCCATGAAGGGACTCAGAGCCGACACTAAGCTGGAGAAAGTGAGATTTTTTTCATCAAATTCAAAATTTTTATGGTGACTGTGCGGATCCTAACCAATAATTAACCAGTGGAACAGCTTGCTGTCAGACTTTGTGGATGCTCCATCACTGGAGGTTTTAAAGAAAAGACTGGACAGCTACCTGTCAGAAATGGTGTAGGGTCTCCTGCTTGAGGAGGGGGCTGGACTAGAAGACCTCTAAGGCCCCTTCCAGCTCTATTCTGATTGATTGATCATGACTGCATGGTCATTGCCCCACTGGTCAATCTGACTCACTTCGCATGGCAAACTTAAACTTTTTGCCTTCTCAATTCAATATTTTGCCTGACAGGTCAACTTACAAAGGAAAGAACTAACATGGGGATAACATGGAATAAATTGCATTAAAAAGGTGGCTAAATTTCATGAAAGTCAGGAAGGAACTCCTCTTGACAAATACAGCATTTCAGAATTATCTCCTATCTATGTCCTGAGGGGTTATATACTAGCAACAGTGCTTAGACTTATATACTGCTTCACAGTGCTTCACAGCCCTCTCTAAGTAGTTTACAGAGTGAACCTCTTGCCCCCATTTTATCCACCTCAGAAAGGACGGAAAGCTGAGTCAACCTTGAGTCAGTCAGGATTGAACTGCGGCTGTTGGCAGAATCAACCTGCAATGCTGAATTCTAACCACTGTGCCACCACAGCCCTTCCTTCCTTCCTTCCTTCCTTCCTTCCTTCCTTCCTTCCTTCCTTCCTTCCTTCCTTCCTTCCTTCCTTCCTTCCTTCCTTCCTTCCCACTTAGACTTATATACCGCTTCACAGTGCTTTTACAGCCCTCTCTTTAAGCAATTTACAGAGTGATCCTATTGCCCCAACAGTCTGGATCCTCCTTTTACCAACCTCAGAAGAATGGAAGGCTGAGTCAACCTTGAATTGGTCAGCAACGAACTGCTGGAGTGGAATGCAGAGTTAACCTACATCGTAACCCCCATGTCACCACAGTCTTTACAAAAATGTACCTTGACACATAAAATATAAGTTCAACTATAGCATGGATTCTCTAAATCACATGCCCCTGATATGCTGACCTCCCAAAACCCTTTGAATTTCATCTCTGGCTTCTTTTGTTTGTCTACCTCTCGGAACCCCCTTACCTGTGAGACCTTGAAAATGCTGAAGATGGAGGCCATCTGCTTTGAGGATCTGGGGTTGCCACTTCCGATGACAGAGAGCAGAGAGCCCTGCCTGCCACATTTATAGCCTGGAACCATTTGGCCTCGTGTGGAGAGAAGGGAGAAGCTGATTAAAGAACTATTCCTCTCAGTCTGGTGATTGTCATAAATATGGAAACCCAGAGTGATGTTGGGAAGGAGAACCAGGTCCTTGCTGACCTCTGAGACTGCAAACTTCAAAGTCAGGAATTGCTGGTAGTTCTTGGGGATGGGCCTGTCGTGAGAAAATCATTGGGGCTCATTTCAGAACAACTTCTATGGACTGCCTTATTTCTTCAGAGTAGCAAGCCCCCTGTTTTATTGGGTTTGTGGTTTTTTTTTTTTTTAAAGGGAAGACCTTGATTAAACTTGAATGGCTTCACGAGAAAGTAGAAAAATGTTCCTCTCCATATCACAATTGCTTCTTTAGCTCCCTAATCCATTGGAGTCTTTCTTTGAGTCTCTATGGAGATTCTAAGTCATCCAGATCATGGTTGTCCCATGCTTTTTTAAAAAGGCAGCTGGATTTTCTGTTTTTTCTCTGAAGATGTTTCACTTCTCATCCAAGAAACTTTTTCAGCTCTGACTGGATGGTGAGGAATAGAAGGATTTATACCCCTTGCAGACAGCTGGTCATTTGAATTTTTTTAGAGAGTTGTTAAGGCTGCTGGGAGGTTTATCTGTGTCCTCAGGGTCACCTGAAGAAGCTTCTTGGATGAGAAGCAAAATGTCTTCCAAGAAGAACCAAAAAGTCCAGTTGCCTCTTGAAAAAAAATACCTTTGGGTCTCTCTTTCAGCAGCTTTTTCAGGTCTACTAACCATTACTGAGCACAAAACTCCAGTGGAGGTCACAGTAAATATTTCCTGAAGTCCATTATTCTTGAGGACTGCTGATTAAAAAAAATGAGTTTTATTTTTGCTTTTGTCAGTACCCCACAATGGAAAAGGACTGAGCTTTTATTTGAATTTTCCAACATAACTTTCTATACAAATTAATATTATAAGTCAACTTCTTCCCTTAGCCAGCACAGTTTCTGTTGTCCCTCTTCACTTTTTAGATTTGCCATTTTCCTGATGATGATGATGACTTCCAAAAAGATTGAGAATTGTAGCCTATTTTATTATTTACTGACTCCTTTTACATGCCATCCATGCCACTATCCAAGTGAAATCTTTGTGAAAAGATTTGAACTACACTAGGACATTGCAAAGATAACTAGAACAAATATTTCTATGAAGCAGGCGTTTGTATGAAGTAAGTACATATGAAGAATGGTTGCAGGAATTAGGTATCTCTAGTTCAATGAAAAGAAGAACCAGGGGAGACATGATAACAGTTTTCCAATATCTCAGGGGCTGCCTCAAAGAAGAGGCAGTCAAGCTATTCTCCAGAGCATCTGAGGGTAGAACAAGAAGCAATGGATGGAAACTCATCAAGAAGAGAAGCAACTTAGAACTAGGGAGAAATTTCCTGACAGTGAGGACAATTAACCAGTGGAACAGCTTGCCACCAGAAGTTGTGGGAGCTCCAACACTGGAGGTTTTTAAGAAGAAATTAGACAATCATTTGTCTGAAATGGTGTAGGGTTTCCTGCTTGAGCAAGGGCTGGATTAGAAGACCTCCAAGGTACCTTCAAACTCTTATTCTGTTGTACTAAAATGAGTCCTCAAATCTAAACCAAAACAAACCATCATCTACATCTTTCTGCTCCAAGTAAAAACTTACATGAGTCTATAAGGAATCTTGGATGGGTTTGTTTTAAAATCTGGGTCTTCAGAGTAGTGAATGCTTGTCAGGAGCAAATTCCCACCAATCATTAGATCTCCAGGCCTGTAATATTCTTGCTGAATCTGGAAAGTGTTTGCCAACACAGATATATTTGGCATTCTCTTAGCAGTAGACCGAGGTAGGAGCCAGAAGAGCAGTACCAGCAAGAGAGGTAATCCATTCATTCTTGTCAACCTTCCCTCTGTCACAATAATAATTTAGGATTCCAATTTGAGAATAGAATAGAACAGAACAGAACAGAATAGAATAGAATTCTTTATTGGCCAAATATGGTTGGACACACAAGGAATTTGTCTTTGGTACAAATGCTCTCAGTGTACATAGAAGAAAAGATACATTTGTTAAGAGTCAAGAATCATCAGGTCCAACACTTAATAATAGTCATAGGGTACAATAAGCAATCAAATCATATTAGGAAACAGTCAATACAAGTCGTAAGGATACAAGCAACAAAATTACCACCATACAGTCACAAGTGGGAAGGGATGGGTGATAAGTGATGAGAAGTGATGAACTGGGGTTGTGCAAGAATAAATAGAAATGAAATCCAAACAGCTGTGACGAGAGGAGAAATATTTATTCCCAGAGGCAAACTGATTTGGAGTTTGTTAGTTGGAAAACTGATGCCAAGAGTTGGATGGAGTAATTGGTTTGTTTATAAAAAGATGGCAAGTTCTCCAAGAGATCTTACAAATAGACAAGAGGGTCCCTGAAGATGTTGGACACATTGAAACGCTAAGGGAATATTGTTTAACAAGCAGTTGAAGCCAGAAAACTTTGTGTGTTGTGTTTGTCTTTCATTTATTCGCACTGTCAGGTCCTAATATTATGGCCAAAAGAGAAATGTGTAAAAGTGCACAGGCTGTGCTTTTCTGTTGTTGGCCCTGCTTTTTTTCTGGAGTAACTTCACGCCAGAAATGGGATCTTCTCCTATGTCCCACAGGCTATTAAAACAGAAAACACCCCTCTGGATGGTTTACTGTCTTCCTCAATCTCAGGTCTTCTACCAGAGGCCTGGCAGTGGGAGGGTACTTAGCTCTTCCTAGCACTTCTTTCCATCTGGACAGAGATATCTTGTCAGCCTCAAGATCTCTTTGGCTACCCTAACTGCTATCTATCTCATTTATCTCTCTCATATCCTATCTACTGTATCTTCTCTACTGCTAGGCTTAATTCTTTCGGCTGTCATTAGCAATGGGGGGAGGGGTAATTGTGGGGGGAAGAGAGCTGGAGGTGTTTTGCATTCTTTTACTGTGGGTAAGCAAAAGGAGGGGGTGTATGAATTCTTCTCTTCAACTTTCCATTTCCTTGCTAGCTTCTATCCCTTTTTGCGCAGCTGCGAAGTTTTATCAAAATATGTCAAGGTCAACAGACAGAGGCCTCACCACCACCTGAAGATGCCCACATGATCATATTCAGAACTTTTAATTGGAAGAGACTTCTGGACTTTGGGGGATGGGAACAATTCCATTCCTTTATATATGTGATCTGCGCGCCAAATTCTCAGATTCGGAATTCCATCTGTAGCTTCCACTTTAATTTCCAGTAAAAGAATAACTTTGCTCTGATCTATGGAGTCTGGGTGTCCGTGTGTGCTCCCTTCAAAATCCAAGAAAGAAATACCCAGACTCCATGGATTTCCTCCCCACCCCACTAACCTGATTCCCAGCTCCGTTCTCCTATGTAGGGGAACCAAAGAAGACCCAGCTGATCAGCTGGGACTCAATGGGAGGCAGAGAAGAGATGAGGTTGGTGGGGCCAGTCAGAGGAGGGATTGGCTGGTTCTCCAAACTAGTCAAAATTTCCGCTACTGGTTCTCCAGAACTGGTCCGGACCTGCTGAATACTACCTCTGGGTTTAACCAATGTAGAATATGTAGGAGCCATGATTCCTCCCATTGTTGACACTCTATGTCTATTGCAACAGCAAGGACTATGGGGGAGGGGTTCAGGTGCATCAACAGATGAAGAGTGTCAGCAACATGTTCAGCCCTGGATGCTCTCTTGAATCCCAAATGTGCGCCCTTGATTTTTCCTATGCAAAAAAAAGGACTTCAATATGTCCATGTTGAATTGACAAGACTGGATTCTGATTATTAATCGAGCTTCTTGAGAGCTTCTTGAATCCTGATTCATTTCTTTATGGTGATGTTGTTAGGAAGAACCATAGTTACCTAACGTTGTTTGGGTAAATAATATATAAACCACGATAGCAAAGTTTAAATGTGTTTTTCACTTTAAACTCTAAATGATATAATTTGGGTGTGGTTGAGAAACTGCCATAAGAGGGAGCTAGAGAACCTGGATTGCTACTGGATTGATGGTTGATTGTTCTGCGTGTTCCCTGCTGTTGGCATCGAAGGAGGAAAGAGTTTTGAATGCTGCATATCTAATCTACTGTGAGAAGATATTTACTGGACTGATTTATGGATTGACATTGTAAGTTAACTGACCTTTGTTTGACACTGGATTTTTTTGCAATTGAACAATCTCTGGACTGAACTGACTGAACACTAGTGAATGATATTTGGACTGCTTGACCCTGCTAAATTCTTAATGGAATAAACTATTCAACTAAGACAGTGTATCTGTTTTTACTGAGTGTGTAAACTAAAAAATGCTTTCTCTCATATTCGCCTGACTGCCTGACTGCTGTGCACATTCTGTAAGGGTATATCCCTAACAGATGTTTCTCAACCATGGGGATTTTAAGATATGTGGACTTTGACTCCCAGATATTTGTAGCCAGCAAGTTGGATTGAAAATTCTGGGAGCTGAAGTTCACAATCATTAATGTTGCCAAAGTTGAGAAACATTATTCTACGATATTATTTCCCTGCCATATTTTTTGCTAACTGCCAATGTAATAAACATACGTCTTAATATATCATCCAAGTTGTTTTGAATATGGCTTAGCACAGTGCTTAGGAAGAACCTTCAACATTGAAGTCTCCTTCTAGCTTCAAGTATACTGTATTTCAGAACATTTATTCAACCAGTTCATAGTCTCATCATTCAGCCCCCATTTTGCTCCCTTCTCCATTGGGATGATATGGAAGGTAAAATGCTTTGCTGAAGTCCAGGTAAAAAATGTTCATTGTATTCCCATGGTCAAGTCAACTGGTTATTTTATCCCATCACCACCAAAAAAAGTCCAAATTATTTTGAAACATCTTGTCAAAAAACTCCTGCTGGCTCCACAAAAACACTGTACAACTTTCTAAATTGCTGAGACCCAGGAACAAAAACATGAAACAAATGGTGAGGAAGGCCATGTTATAATATTCTTGTGTTGTATGAAATCTCATATGCAAATAGGAGGAATTTCAAACAGGAACAAACAAAAGGTACATCTTTGGAATGAGATGCCAAAGGATATCCATTGTTCTTTGGAAAAATGGAGACAAGATTGTTTTATATCTAATTGTAATTAGTTAAACAAATCACATCACAATACTGAGACCTAGGGATAAATATTTTAATATACTTTAAATTGTATTTTACTGAACTCAAATGTAAATAGAAGGAATTTCAAATGGGAACTAAAATGGTACATTTTTGGACAGAGATGATTAAATAATATTTATATGATTGCTAATCATTTACTGAACAAGCTGGTCTCTTATTTCATTATTGTTAAGAAATCATATCAAATTTTTAAAAAAGCCCAAATGTCAAAATAAAACTACTTTCCACATAAATTAGAAATTCTTGCGCCTCATGATATTTTCTCTGTGATTCAGATCAGGCCTCCACAGGATAATATAACATTTGGGGAGAAAGATGCAAGCCAAGAGACCAGCCCCAGAGGCCAAGATGGAGAAGATCTCCACGGCCACCATGTATTTCCCTTTGGTGCTCAGGTAGGTAGGGAGGAAGGCGATCCAAACACAGCAAAAGACCAGCATACTGAAAGTAATGAACTTAGCTTCGTTAAAGCTGTCAGGCAATTTCCTATCCAGAAAGGCCACTGTGAAACTCACAAGGGCCAGGAAACCCAGATAGGCCAGGACAGCATAAAACATCAAAGCTGAGCCTTCATTACATTCCGAGATGACCTCTCCTATGAAGGAGTGAAAATCCATGTTGGGAAATGGAGGGGAGGTAACCAGCCAGGTGACACAAATAATTGCTTGGATCAGGGGACAGGCTATCACCATGGAATTGGTCAGATGATTTCCTAAGAGTTTCCTTGTCTTGTTCCCCAGTTTGGTAGCCATGAAAGCCAAAACCACCATGACAGTTTTTGCCAAGACAGAGGAAACTGCAAGGGAAAAGAAAATGGCAAAGTTAGTTTGTCGGAAGAGACAGGTGAGAGTCCTGGGTCGACCAATGAAGAAGAAGGAGCAGAGGAAGCAGAGCAGAAGGGAGACCAGGAGGACATAGGTGAGATCTCGGTTGTTGGCCTTGACAATTGGAGTGTCACGATGTCTAAGGAATATCACCAGAACTGCAGATGTAGTCACAGAAAGAGAAAGAGTGAGAGAAACCAAAATGGATCCCAGAGTGTCTTGATAGGCAAGAAAGTGGATCTTCTTGGCAATGCACCGGACCTTGTCCTCGTTGGGATAGTAATCTTCTGGGCAAGGGTCACAGCGAACTGTATCTGAAATCAAGAGTCTTTGTCTTAGGACTTCAGGGTCATCCACTAGGAGTTTTATTCCCCCTCCCCTCCTAGGGTCCCCATTTGACCCTTTCTGGTGAGCATAACTCACAAAGGAAGTGATGAAAAAAACTCAGTAGCTTCAGGTGCCTTAAAAGATAGAGATTGTAGGTTCAAAATGAGCACAGGGATCAATTGGTTAAAGATCAGGATCTCTCTTCTGATTATTTCAATTTGTTTTCACAGGGAGAAATTGGGAATTTGATCTCTTTTCCTCAGATCATACTGGAAGCCCCAAAAGATTGATAGATCTGTCAGTTGGCAATCCTTCTATTTGCTTCTTTAGGTACATTATCTGTTGGTGGGTCATAAGATCAGAAAGTGACACACACACATGCCTAGACAGGAACACTCACATCCCTGTGTGGAATGGGAGGTCTGTGAGGAGGGAGAATGAATTTTTTCCTATTTCAAATCACTTTCTCCCATCAGGCATCCAGAGATTTTTTGCAGGAAGGGGCTATCAGACACAGGTAGATTGATCTATTTCTCTGACATGCCTGAAAGTTTCCAGGGAAATTGATAATCCCAACATAAGAGGCACACTGAAAGTAACACAAATGAACAGACACACTGCTCTATTAATTCATAAAAAGGATCGGTAGCTGGCTTTCCCTTCGTGTGTGGCAGGAGGAGCAGAAAGGACAGCAAGAAATCTACAAATTGCTGCCTTAACTCCATCATGCATGAAATTGGGTCAGGAGAGAAGCCCTGACAATCATCATTCCTCAGGGGTGGCAAGTTAAACAGTAGGCAGGAGCATTTGTATCCACACCCTGAAGCATGTGAAACCATGGGTGGGATTCTACCTGGTCAAACCGGTTCTATAGAACCTGTTGTTATGATTCTGTGCAGTTTGGAGAACCAGAAAATTGTGCAACTGGTTGGCCCCGCCCCTCCCTGCACCGTCCACTCACTCCTAACCTGGCATGCGCGCCATCAAACTTTCCTGCATTTGGTAGGTTGCTATTTTTTCCTTCCCCCCAACCATCAGCTATTCTGTTGTGCTGGAAGATTTAGATTAGCTAATACAGTGGTTCCCAAACTTTTTCAGTCCACCACCCCCTTGGTGCTACAAACTCATCCTCAATGCCCCCCAACCAGGGGCGGGATTCAAATTTCTGTGTGTGTGACCCAATTTGAGGGTGTGGCTTGCTGGTCACATGACTGGGTGGGTGTGGTTTGGTCACTGGCAAACCAAATACAAGTGGTCCTCATTTAATGACTGATTTCTTAGCAAGTGTTCTAATTTATGACTGGCCTCTCCAGAGCTATTTGACCTGTTTTGGAGTTTTGAGAGCCATGCACACACATACACACACACACACACTCCCTTCTAATCCTGCTGGAGCAGGTCATTGGACTAGAATTGGCAAAGCATCTCTGATTAGATTCTAGAAGATTCTTGTTGATTTGTTTTCTGATTCTTTGCTGCAAAAATTATGCAAAGGAAAACGTTCGACATTTGAGCATTTCTGAAACAAAGGATAACAAGGATTCAACTGAAGATGAAATCACACTTGCTTGTTCTAATGACATCCCAGGTTTCAAGCAGAAGTTCTTCCCAGTCCCAATGCTTCATGGATTTGTCTCTCTTTTAATTCAGATTGTTTTTTTTAAATATATTATTTATTGTTTCTATACTGCTCAGAGTTGCGTTTTTGGTGAGACGGGTGACAAATATTTTTTTTTTGAAAAATAAAATAAAATAAATGGGCCAGCCACAAAGGGCACCTCAAACATGATACATTCAAAGCAGATTTTTTTATCGGAAGCATAACAGGTATTTCTGCAACATTCCAGGTTCAGTAGACCTATTTTCCAGTGAGAAGAATGTTGAACATCCTGAGATGAAAATGAATCTGTCCTTGAATTGACAAGATTTTCTTTCAGCTCACCTCTGTGGCCCAGATGATTCCATCAGAGTTTATGGTGAAATCTTTGCCTGCAGGATCCTTGAGATCTATTTCTCCAACTGTCACAGGGACAAAAGATTCATTGGGGAGGAGAACCCAGTTGAGAAGATCATAGCGAGCCGATGCCAGTCCATCTTCTGAGAAGGAGACCTCATCTCGAGCACTGTTGTTGAACTGGACTTTCCTCAAATAGGGAAGAATCTGAATGAAAAGAGACACTCAGAAATTGGAGTCATTGGCTGAAGGTCAGAAATGAGACATCAAGGCTTCTATTATTGTGTGATGGCCATCATCTTCAGAAATGGTCGTATGTCTGAAAAGCTAGAGGAGTTTTCTTGGCTGAGACCTGAGCAATCAGGAGCAACACCAAATCTTTGACTTCTTTTCCAACACAACGAACATTTCTATTTATTTTGGAGAATTTGTACCATGGCTACTTCAACTCCAGCTTTATGAACACAATACCTTTCTACAAAAAGTTTAATACCACATATGAATGGCTTTGCTCCTTCAATACTTGACTAAATACACTTTTAAATGATTCCTTTGGCCCAAGATGATGTAAATAACAAATGCATTTTCGGAACAATTGGATTATTTCTTTCACAATAGTGTGCAATTCCACTGGCTTTCCCAAGGAGAGCAGGGTGGAGGAACCAGGTCCAAACAAATGGGACCGTGTGGAAAGAAGCACCTGCCCTGATTTGTCAGTTCTCTACCTAGGAAAGTCCAACATTCAGCCATTGATACTGAAAGCCTGATGGATCTCAGGCCATAAACCCTTCAGGGCCACTTTGGAATCCTGCTTGGTGTTCTGACGTTTACAGAAGTTGCTTTCACACAACAAGCTGAACTGTAGAAGATGGCACCACCTATGGCAGCCTTGGTGAAATGCTCTCTTGTAGTTTTGGTGTTTTCTGTTATTTTCTGTGACTCTCTGAGAATTTCATACTCAAGAATTGAACTTTTGAATGTCAAACAATGGATTTTACATAACAAGCAGCTTTCCGGGACTATTCCTCCCTTCTCTTCAAACGCAGAGGAAATTCTGACTGAGGGAATGGCAGCTATCTCTTTCGAAGCAGAAGAAGAACAAAAGAAGGAGAAAGAAGGGCAAGAGAGGAACCATATTACAAAGGCTCAGGAAGCAAATCTCCCCTCTCTGCATTTAACTAATCTTTGTTCATCTGTAAATAAGATAGATAAACAGCTACTTTTAAATAGAAACAACTTAGACTTGGCAGCCCTCTGTTTTACTGAAACGTGACTGGACATCTAACATTAAAAACATTGTCCAGAATAGAATGGGACAGGACAGAATAGAATTCTTTATTGGCCAAGTGTGATTGGATACACAAGAAATTTGTCTCCAATGCAGAAGCTCTCAGTGTATATACAAGCAACAAGAAATAAATTATGATCATAAAATACAATCATCAGTCATAAGATACAGCACTTAGTAATAGTCATGGGATACTAAATAAGCAATCAACATAAATCACGCTAGGATACTAAATAAAACAATATAATTCATAAGATACAAGCATCAAAGTTATAAGAAGATAGTCAGTAGGAAAGATGACAATAATAATAATAATAATAATACAGCCTTACTAGATGGTTGGACAGTGTTGTGGAAATCAGTTGTTCAGCAGATTGATGGCATGATGGGGAAAAAACTGTCCTTGTGACTAGTTGTTTTGATATGCAAGATTGTGTTGTTTCTCTGTGTCATAGAATATTCTGTATGTGGGTATATACATAATAGTGTATTTTTGTTCATGAAGTGCATATTGGAGGTGGTGACCCTTTGAGAGCTGTATGCAATGAAATTTCATTTTAATGTATGCCGATTAGTGTACATTCAACGTGTACAATAAAGTTATTACTCTACTCTACTCTACTCTACTCTACTCTACTCTACTCTACTCTACTCTACTTTTTCTGTATTCTCTTCCTATTCTATTCTATTCTATTCTATTCTATTCTATTCTATTCTATTCTATTCTATTCTATTCTATTCTCAAACTAAGCAGATGGAGTGAGGCTACGTAGGATGCTAAGCCATAGAAACATAGAAAGAGTTACTTAGAGGTAAGATGGGCAGCCTATAAACTTTATAAATAAATAAACAAACAAACATAAACCAAAGTGAAAATGAACTCTTTATTGGTTAGATTCAAGGTTCAGTACCTAGTGATTGCAACTGAGGTGGTTCTGCATGAAATTTGACTAGGACTGATTTGCACAGATATCATCCACAATCACACCAAGATGGCCATCTTGCCCTGGGCTGAATTATCCTCCCTGAAATGGTCACTTCCTGAAACTTTTTTTTGTAGACGTTTCAGGAGCTTATAGGAAGGTATTTCCTTTATGGATCTTATAGGGATCTGGTTTGCTTTAGTTCTCTTCCTCCCTCCTCTATTCCTTCTCAACCAATAGTTATATTCCATTCATTCATACTGTTTTAATATGCTTTTAAATTCATTGATATGGTAGCATAGAGATATTTAATCAGCAATTCAAGAAATACATATGGGAAGCTTCTACTAGATGGATCTGTGGCCTGAATAAAAAGTCCCAGAGATTACCTGCCATGACTGGACATTCCAGATCCTCCTTCCAAGCCTCATCATGACTGGTTGCCCTCTAGATCCATGCAGTTCATGCAATGCATGTGCCACAGCATAAATGGCATTGTAGATATTGTAATTTTCACCTGTCATGCTTGTTTCAAAAACATAAGATGGCAGGTCCTGTAAATTCTCCTTTTCAGTACATGGCTTTTCCCACTTTTTAAGGATCACTCCTGGTTTGTGGATCTTGCAAACCAAGATTTTTTTCCGCCAAAGTGGGAATAAGTCATCTCCTTCTGGGTTCAAAGGGTCTAAAGACAGGAGGAAGTGGCTGAATTCTGAGACATCCCTGGTTTGGTCTTTAAAATGCAAAGTCCCATGGAAGTACTTTCTAAATTGCAACATTTCTCTAGATCCCAACACACTTAGTTCACAATAGGAAGGAAGGATCCAAACTTTCCAAAGTGATATGGATTTTCTATAATGAAATTGAGTGAACTCTACCAGCATAATAGTAAGAGAGTCTCCAAACAGGACAATCACTTCAACTTCAAGCAAAATCTTTAAAACAAGTTGTCCTCCCAACTCCTTAATATCAGAACTGAATATTTCAGAGAAGGCCAAGCAGATCTCCTTCTCCTTGAGCATTGGCACCAGAGATGAGACGAAATGTTCCCCACTGTCATCTTTAGAAGCCACCAGCCCAACCCAGTTCCACTGGAAATACAGGAGCAGCTGGACTAAACCCTCATACTGGGGAAATTCCTTGGGATTAATCCGGAAGAAGGAAGGATAAACTCTTCTCTCTCCCTGAGAGAACTCAAAGCCAACACCAAGCTGGAGAAAGTGAGGAGGTTTTTTTGTTCCAAAGCAAAGTAATGTTTTACAATGACTTCAGGGAATCACAATTGTGTAGTTAGTGCTCCAGTCAGGATGATTCTCCCTGAGTTTCAATCTAAATTGTACTGAATGGGTGGTTACACTTTTATATGAAAACCAGGAAGTAATTCCTCTCGGCATGTACAGCGTTTCAACCATAGGGTAATATAAAAATGCATCGATACATAAAATATAAAAATTAATTAAACTACAGCGTGGAGCCTCTAAATCATAGATCCCTGAAATGCCTTTCCCACCACCAAACACCTTTGGTTTCATCTTTGTCTTCAGTGTGTTTCTGTTGTTGGTCTACCTCATGTTGCATCCAGTGGAGCCCCCTTACCTGAGGGACCTTGAAGAGGCTGAAGATGGAGGCCATCTGCCTGGAGGATTTGGGGTTGAGGCCTCCGATGACAGAGAGCAGGGGATCCTGCCTGTCACATTTGCAACCTGGAACTGTTTGGCCTTGTGTGGAGAGCAGGGAGAGGCTGACGAGATAACTATTCCTCTCAGTGTCATCATAGTCATAAATGTGGAAGCCAAGGGTGATATTTGGGAGCAGAATCAGATTCCTGTTCACCTCTCTGACTGCAAACTTCAAGGTCAGGAAATGCTTTTATAGTCTCTGTCATCTCTCCTTCATCACTTTCCTCTAGTGATTGCAATCCTTCCCAGTTGCTCTTCTATAACCCAGATCAATTTGGCTGTGTCTTTGAGCAGCTTCTCCAGGCCTGCTGAACACAAAATTGTGTGTGTGTGTGTGTCTCTGTGTCTGTGTGTTTGTGTGACAAACAGCACAGATTTATAGAAGGCCATCAGTTATGAGCACTGCTGATTCTAAAACTAAGCTTTATATTTTTCAGTGTCCCATACTGGAAAAGAAATGAGTTTTTATTTGAGCTTTCCACCATGACTTTCTGTCCCGATTAATACTACAGCTCAACTTCTTCTAAAGGCCAGCAGACTTTCAAAACTGTTACCACCTTCAATTGTGGTTTATCATTTTCCTGATGATGAGTTCTGAAAAGATCAGCAATTGGAGACTTACTTTTTTAAAATAATATTGACTTCCTTTGCATGTCATCCATCTCACCATCAAGGTGACCCTTTATTGTGAAAAGCACGAAGATCTGAACTACACTAGGACTTGCAAAGGCCACTAGGACAAGTAATCCTGAAGGGGGACCTTGAATCTGAAACAAAGCAAACCATCACACATCTCTTTCCACCCCGGGTGAAACTTATACCAGAGTATAAGAAATCATGGATGGTTGTTTTTTAAAATTTGTGTGGTTGAAGTAAATCATGTTTGTCAGGAACAAATTCCCACCAATCTTGAAATCACCAGGCGTGTGATAGTCTTGCTGACTCTGGAAAGTGTTGGCCGATACACAAGTGACTGGAATCCTCTTTGCAGAAGTTGGAGGCAAAAGCCAGAAGAGTAGCAGCAGCAGGAGAGGCAGCCCAATCATTGTGGTCCCCTTCCCAGAAATCCAGATTTGTGCAAAAACAGAATTGCAGGTACCACCTGAAATCTCACCTGAGCTTTAGCAGAGTAGAGCCCAGTCCTGCAACCTGGATGGCCTTAGGGGAAATTTATACCAAGCATGCTTTCTCTTACCTATGTTTGAGCTATGGCCGAAGAGAAAATTAAGGCCAGTGAGTCACACTTAAGCCAAGGAATTAACTCTTTGCAAGACAAAGCAACATGACATGTCCTGCCCCAATAGGGAAACTCAGTGCCTGTTTTCTAAAGCAGGCTTTATCTTGGAAGATTTTTATGGATAGAAATCCACAGGGGATCCATTGGGAATTACTATTGTTTCAAGAATTGCAAGGAGAAGCAATATCCTACCCACTTAGTATTAGATTTTGTTTGTGCGCCAGAAGGGGGAAATCATGTTTATGTCTCTTGTCATCCACAGAGCAGAGGGAGTTGAGAATCACGATGAAGCTGGGTATTTGACCTACGCGAAACTGAGCACAAGATGGAGCTTGACCTCTGGCATAGTTTGAATGTTGTGAGGCATGGTGGCCCATGAGAATCGGTTGTACCTGAGTAAGTGTGAGAAATCATACAAACTCTAGGATGGAATAACTGGTTTATTTACAGTCACATGGCAGGAGATGAAATTAGAAGCTAACTTCTCCCACAGGTCTTAAAAACAGACAAGAGGATCCATGAAGATGTTAGGCAGATCTAAACTCGACTAGAATATTATCCTAACAACTAACTGAAGCCATAAAACTTTGTGTATTGTGTTTGTCTTGTGAAGTGTGTTTCTGTTTGTGTTTGAAGTATGGTATACCTCTGGCCTGGCTAGGATAATAAGAATGAGTCCACAGAATTATGTGGTTATCTGAAGCTGGTTCTAGTCAGTGTTGGTTGGAGGGAACAAACTGAGCCCAAATCCCTGATTTTCAAGGTGCCTCAGGAGGCCTCTTCTATTTGAGGTCAAGACCTACTGTTGGAAATAAAAATACATCTGGCTCAGTTCCAAGCTGGGAGAAAGATGCTGAAAATAAAATGGAGGCTGGTGGCTGATTGGAAAAAAAGGTCCATTTATTGATTAACAGAACCACCAGGGTTTGTGGTTCTGGTGCAGCTGACCAAATGATTGAGTGAGTGGATGGATCTTTATAAGTTTCAGAGATGCTGCTAGGAGAGTTGTGCAAAGTTTGAAATGTCCTTGTAGGAGATTGCACAATGTAGTGAGCTTTGTGCCTTCTGCTAAATGGTAGTGGGTTAATCCTATTATGTCCTGAAGGATCATGTCCTGTTCTTCTTAATCCCAACACCCTGAAGCTGAAGGTCTTTTGTTTTGTAGATAGGCTGGCCCAATCTTTCTTAATGGGCACCAAATATCTGCTGGGGGGAGGCCATTAAAAGAGACTTTAAAAACATGTTTCTACATTTCTCCCTTTGGGGAAATATAATATCTTGCCTTTTTAATATTCCTCAAAATATTTCATTCTTCTATGAGGGTCCCCCCCCCCACAATATGATGATATTAGTGAGGTTTTGGCCTGACTCACTAGTCCACCTGTTCAACCACACAATAGTAACTATGGTTCCTTCACAAACATCCAGGGGATTTGCTTAAAGTCAGCATCTTAGGAGGATTCAGCATGAAGGGAAGGAGCTTCAGGTGAAATCAAAACAAAATAAGAAGGGTTTGCGAGGCCTCGTGAGGAAGAGGCTGAATAAACAGAGCCAAAGCCCAGGCATCAGAGAAAGAAGGAAACTAAAAGATAGCCTTCCTGATGAGAAGAAGCAACTGAAAAGGAGGCAGCAACTGAGTAAACCAAGAAGCCAGAAACCAAGGAGAAGCAATAACCATCAGGCCTTCTGTTCAGGTCGACACTGGAATTAATAGTTGACTGAAAGAAAACATTAGTAGGGAATTCAGCAAAGCCTCAGGAATCAGTGGACAGAAACATGCTTAAAAACACTGAAAGTGAAACAATGCCAACATATTCTTAAAAATGATTTTGATTAAAATAAAGTTGGAAAATGTCATGTTGGAAACAAATATCTAAATATATAATACCAACATTTATTGCCAAGTTGATTTTTGGATCTATGGTACAATGGGGATGAATGAAAAATGTGATTATTGCAGATTAACAAATGTCCTATGATTATTCACACCACTTGGTTTCCAATTATTTAATGGGAGAGGCCATCTCTAAGCTCCTTATTTCTTAGAAATGAGATCAAATGGAAACATGTTCAAAATCAAAATAAAGACTCCCAATACCTGAGGTGGAGTAGGGCATTTTAAAGGGTTTTTATGTTGTGGTTTTTAATGGTGTAATCCAGTTGGAGTTACCTGTGTATAAGTTAGATGGCAATGTAATTATGTTTCATAAATACAAATATAATCAAAGACCCTTGTGCCTCATAATATTCTCTCTGAAATTAAGATGGGGCCTCAGTAGGATAATGTAGCATTTAGGGAAAAAGATACAAGCCAAGAGTCCAGCCCCAGAGGCTAAGATGGAGAAGATCTCTACAGCCACCATGTACTTCCCTTTGGTGCTCAGGTAAGTGGGGAGGAAAGTGATCCAAACACTGCAAAATACCAGCATGCTGAAAGTAATGAACTTGGCTTCATTAAAGCTGTCAGGCAATTTCCTAGCCAAAAAGGCCACTGTGAAACTGATGATGGCTAGGAGGCCCAGGTAGGCGAGGACAGCATAAAACATTGAAGCTGAGCCTTCCTGACATTCAGAAATGATCTCACCAGTCAAGGAGTGGAAGTCCAAGCTGGGAAATGGAGGGGAGGTTACCAGCCAGGTGACACAAAGAACAGCTTGGATCAAGGGACAGGCTATGACAATAGAGTTGGTCAGTGATTTTCCTAAAAGTTTCCTTGACTTGTTCCCTGGTTTGGTAGCCATGAAAGCCAAAATCACCATGACAGTTTTTGCAAAGACAGAGGAAACTGCAAGGGAAAAGAGAATGGCAAAGGCAGATTGTCGTAAGAGACAGGTGAGCTTCCCAGGTTGACCAATGAAGAGAAAGGAGCAGAGGAAGCAAAGCAAGAGGGAGACCAGAAGGATGTAGGAGAGATCTTGATTGTTGGCCTTGACGATTGGTGTGTTATGATGTTTAAGGAAAACTGCCAGGACTGCTGATGTGGTCATAGAGAGAAAAAGAGTGAGAGATGTTAATGAGTAGCCCAGGATGTCTTGATAAGCAAGGAAGTGGAGTTTCTTGGCAATGCAGTGATCTTTGTCCTTGTTGGGATATTGGTCTTCTGGGCAGGGGTCACAACGAGCTGCATCTGAAATGAGGAGTCAGTGTGCATTTCATGGTGAATCAACAAGGGCAAATCACCCAGCCTTATTGGTGACGCTGGGAATAGGTTAGTCAGAAAAACAGATCTGTTCTCTGTCTCACCGTCTCTGCTTTATGATTGAAATCCAGTCATTCAATCTTTTTTTGCAGGGAAGGATTAGCAGACTTGGCTAGATGGATCTCCTGTTTCTCCAACAAGTCTTTGAATATCCTGGGAGATTGACAGTTTTGAAAAAAGAACTATCCTTTATCCTGGGGTGGGATTCAAATTTCTTAACAATCAGTTTTATGGACATGACCTAATTTGTGAGTGTGGCTTGGTGGTCACGTGACTGGCTGGGAGTTGCTTGTATGTAAATATTGTAAATATTTATGTAAATATTGATTTTTTTTAATAAAAAAGAGCAACTTTTACCCAAAATCAGGTAAAGCAGGCAGGCAGATTGAGTTGCTCACAGAATGATAGATTCATTCAAAAATCTATCCTTCTGCAATCTGCTACCTGAGTCAGCACTGAAAAATAGAAGCTAGGAAGGTTCAGCTCTGCTTTTAGATTAGCTAGAAAGCAAGAAATCCAACAACTTCCTGCTTTCTAGCTAATCTAAATCTCCTGGCACAGCCGATAGTCGGAACAGCTGATGGTTGGGGATAAAAAAGGAAAAATAGCAACTTAGCAGGCAAGTTGGATGGTGTGCATGCCAGGTAAGGAGTGACTGGGCAGGGTGGGGAGGGACAGGGTCAGCCAATGGTGTGATTTGCCGGTTATCTGAACTGTGTAGAATCCCACCTCTGCCTTTATACTTCATATAAATTAAATCTTAAATCTTACATCCTGTTCTTTTCCAAACAGATTGAGAGCTAGTTCTCCTGATGGGATATAAAATTAGGGGCAGAGAGAATCTAGTAGGGAAACCCCTGAATTATGCCTTCAAACGAACCTGTGTTAAATTCCTAGTAACAAGAAAAGTTGCCTGTAGGGATAGTAATTTAGATTCATGTAAAAGAGAATCTGCTGAAAAGTATGAATATACTGAAGCATGTAAATTCTACCAAAATGATGCTAAAATTAATATGTTTTTTTCCCACTGAATGGCTGGAAGACCAACATTTGAATGTTCTACCTGTCTGATCAGAAATGGTCCCTTCTGGACAAAGGTCACATTGGTAGCAGCAACCCTGCTGGCCATCTGGAACGCTTCTCCTCTCTCCTGCCTGGCACCTCTTTTTGCCACACCTGGCAAAGGGCACCTTCTAGAAGAGAAAAAGAGAAATGGTTGAGATGGCTTAAGCAATGAACGTGCTTCATTGATTCATTTCCCCATTCCTATTTCCACCTTCAGAATGTTTTCAAAAGAAATGGTCCACCAGGCCCTACCAGAGTGATAGGCTCCAGAGGATTTCAGGCCAGTGGCAATCCTGATCCATGAATGGATGCTGGAGATTAGAACTGAACCCCAAAATGCAAAGGAAGGCTTGTCACATAGAGCTACAGCTTTTCTAAAATATAGAATCATGAGGATTCCACTGAGTGGGATTGGTCCATGGAAATTACTCTTGCTTGTTTTAATGGCGTCCTGGGTTTCAAGCAGGAATTTTCCCCAATCTTACCCCATCTTGGACTTTTCAGAAGCCAAATCTCAAATATGTGAAACCCAAAGCGGGTTTTTCATCAAACTCCTGATTTTTTTTTCCTGATTGAATAGACCTATTTCCCAGTTAAAAGATTGTTATGCATCCCCTGGAGTGAATAAATCCCTTGCTGAATTTACAACTTTTCCTTCCAGCTCACCTTTGTGGCCCAGATGATGGCATCAGAGTTAATGGTAAAAGCTTGTCCTGGGGAAGCTGTGGAATCTATTTGTCCAACTTTCATGGGGACAAAAGATTGATTGGGGAGGAAGAGCCAGTTGAGAAGATCATAACGAGAAGAAAGCAATCCACTTTCTGAGAAGGACACTTCCTCTCCAGCACTGTTGTTGAACTTGATGTTCCTCAGATAGGGAAGAATCTGAAAGAAAAGACACCTGGGTTAATTGGCTGAATCCTGGTTACCAGTGCATGCAAAATAGATAATTGTGCAGGTAAGATTATCAACCTTGATGCCAAACAAAACCAAGCATTTAATAGTGAGTGCCATACCATGTGCACTAATCAAACTGGCGGGAAGAAAGTAGGGGCAGGCAGGCACAACACAGGTTATGTAGACAGTAAACACGGTGTCAGACATAAAGATCTCAAGTGCCTATATACAAATGCACAAAGTCTGGGGAACAAACAAGGTGAACTCGAACTACGAATACATGAAGGTAGATATCATATAGTTGGAATAACAGAAACTTGGTGGGATGAAACCCATGATTGGAACATATTGGTAGAAGGATACAAACTGTTCAAAAAAACCCAGACCCCATAAAAGAGGAAGTGGAGTTGCACAGGGGTGGGTTTTTACTGGTTCTGTCCACCTCTGTAGAACCAGTAGCTATGAAGAGCAGCAGACATAGAACTGGTTCTATGTGTGCTGATGTTTTTGCCCACCTGCCCACCCGGGCTCTTACCTGATCTTTATTTCCTGATTTTTCAGCTTCAGCTGCTGAACGAGGCACAGCTGCAGTTAAAAAAGCAGGAAAAGAGGGCTGTTTCAAAGGCTGCGCCTCTACACACAGCATGCTGATGACGATTTACAGGCGTGTGGCTCACAGTGTGCAGGGAAGCTCATAAATCCCAAACCAGTAGTTAACCTGTCGTATCCCACCCCTGAGTTGCATGGTATGTAAAGGACCATTATATCGTTACAGAAATGCATGAAACTAAAGATGAAAACCTCCAAGAATGCATATGGGTCAATACAAAAGAAAAAAAGAATGACATGGCCATAAGTGTATATTATAGGCCATCCAATCAAGCAGAAAAAATAGATGTCCTTTTTGCCAACCAACTAACAAACATATGTAGGAAACACACAACAATAGTAATGGGAGACTTCAATTAATCCTAATCCTGCACCAAGTGAGAAATCAAATAAGTTTCTAACCAACCTAGCTGATAACTTTGTTGTCCAAAAGGTAGAGGATGGAACCAGAGAGTAAAGAGAAAGACCAGGGGAGACATGATAGCAATGCTCCAATATCTGAGGGGCTGCCACAGAGAGGAAGAGGTCAATCTATTTTCTAAAGAACCTGTAGGCCAGACAAGGAATAATGGATGGAAACTGAACAAGGAGAGATTTAACCTGGAAATAAGGAGAAACTTTCTGACAGTGAGAACAATCAACCAATGGAACAGAAGTTGCCCTCAGAAGTTGTAGGAGCACCCTCACTTGAGACCTTCAAGAAGAGATTGGACTGCCATTTGTCAGAAATGGTGTAGGGTCTCCTGCTTGGGTGGGGGTTTGGACTAGATGACCTACAAGGTCCCTTCCAACTCTGATTATCTATTATACTATGATGGCCATCATTCTAGGAGATGGGTCTATAGCTGAGAAGCTAAATCAATCAGAGTAGAGCTGGAAGGGACCTTGGAGGTCTTCTAGTTCAGCCCCCTGCTCAAGCAGGAGACCTTATGTCATTTCAGGCAAGTGACTGTTCAGTCTCTTCTTAAAAACCTCCACCTACAACTTCTGATGGAAAACTGTTCCACTGGTTAATTGTCCTTACTGTTAGGAAGTTTCTCCTAAGACCCTTGGTGGAGATCTAAGCAATCAGAAGTAACATCAAATGTTCAACTTCATCCCACCAAATGACTTCATCCCACCAACATTCTCTTTATCATTGGACATTTGTATAATGGCTTCTTCAATTCCAGCCTTACAGGAATGATAAAAACATTTTAATGCCGTATTCCACAGTACAGTTTTGCTCGTTGATATTTGGCAAGCTACATTTTAAATTTTATTTGGGCCCACATTCTTGTAAATGACAAATGCATTTTAAGAATGATTAAATAATTTTGGAAATGTTCTTGGTGCTTTCTGAGCCTGGTTGTTTTCTTGCAGATATTTCATGACCTAAACTAGGTAACACTGATAGTGATCTCACTCCCTTCCAGCACTGATGATGCTACCTAGCTGGGTCATGAAATGTCTGCAAGAAAACAACCACCCCTGAAGGACCCCTCATTTCACCCCTAAGCTATAATATTCTCCTTTGTTGGTAAATACTTTCTATCATAACATCACACAACTCCACTGACTTTCTCTAGCTGATGCTCAAAGAGAGCAGAATGAAGAAGTAGATCTGACCAAGAGGGACCATGTAAGAATATTTCTCTTGCCCTGGTTTTTCACTTCATTGTCCAGAGACATTTAGCCATTTAGCCTTTGATGTTGAAAAATCTGAAGAATTTTAGATCAGGAACTCATGTTAGGACCAGGTTGAGTTCTTCTTCTGCATATGCTGAAGTTGACAGAGGCTTAACGCAACAAACAAAGCAGTGCAAGAAATGGCTTAATAAAAAAAAATGGGGTGGGGTCACACAAAAAATCTAAGCTACCGTACTCTAAACCGATATTAAAATGAATTGAGTGTCCAAAAAATAATCGACTGTGCTGAACTAGATAAATTCACTATGGAATTGAAAGGCAAAGAGGATCGGGAATACTATGTGACATGGGAGAGGTGGTACGAATCGTTGAAGGATAAGGATAAAAATAATGTATAGTCACAAAATAAGAAACATATATATACAACGACACAATAACTGTTAATGGAAATGAGATTTTTGTATTTTTTTGTTTTTAAAGAATAAAAATTTTAAAAAATGAATTGAATGTCTTTTTACAGATTGGATTCAAACTACCGACTGAGAGAAACTGAGGTGCTTCTGCAAATGTGTCTGCTAAGACTTGAATTGACCTGTTGAAATATCTTGCACAATGGCACCCAGGTTGTTCTTGTGCTCTGGGGTCACCACTCCTCCTTGGAGTGGTCACACCTCTCAGGAGGCGATTGATGTCCTTTCCAGGAACTTCTAGGAAGCTCTTTGCTCTTATGAACAATTGATTTGGTTTAATTCTTTTTTTCCTCCGTCTATCCCTTTTCAATAAAAGATAAAGGTAACAGTAAAGGTTCCTCTCATACATTTGTGCTAGTTGTTTCTGGCTCTAGGGGCTGGTGCTCATCTCTGTTACAAAGCTGAAGCACCAACACTGTCCGAAGACATCTCCGTGGTCATGTGGCCGGCAGGACTAAACACTGAAGGCGCACAGAATGCTGTTACCTTCCCATCAAAGATGGTCCCTATTTTTCTATGTGTTTTTTTTTTACATGCTTTCAAACTGCTATATTGGCAGAAGTTGGGACATGTAACGGGAGCTCACTCCATTATGTGGTGCTAGGGATTCGAACCACTGAACTGCTGACCTTTCTGATTGACAAGCTCAGCGTCTTAGCCACTGAACCACCACGTCCCATTTTCATTTCTGTTATGTCCTGAGAACTCTAGGAGTTCTCACTCAGGTCCATTCACTTGCGGGGGCGTTTTCCCCTTCATCTCATTGGTTGGTTCTCCCCAGCAGCCTGCTATAAAAGCAGGCTGCGGGGTCCAACCAGTTGCTGATTGCTGCGAGCCAGCTCCTGGCGTGGCAAGCACGGTCAGCCCTTTATTGTTATAATAAAGTATTGTTGCACTCATGCTCTGGTTCAGCCTCTCTTTTCCCAAACTTAACACTGGTGACGAAGGTGGGATGGCTACCAGAAGCACCATGCAACCGCTGAGTCACTAGCCACCGATCCGCAGCCAGAGAGAGCGATCGGCCGGCGATAAGAGCAACGCTGATCCGCAGCCAGAGAGAGCGGTCAGCAAACAAAAAGAGCAAACAAAAAGAGCAAACGCTGATCCGCTGACAGAGAAAGCGGCCAGCAAGCGATAGAAGCGAACACTGATCCGCAGCCAGAGAGAGCGGTCAGAACGAAAGTTAGAAGCGTCTGTAGCCGCTTGTTAGCCCAGCTACAGGGGAAAGTGAAGCGCTGCGAGCCGCAGCCACTCATTGTTTAGGCGTGAAATTCAAACGGCTGTCACTTGAATTTCAAACCTAAAAGGTACAGCACGGTGCTGTAGGCAAGTCACTGACGCCCACACAGGCGCGAATTCAAACGCCGCCAATGGCTGACAGCCAAACGTGGCTAACCCAGAGAGAGAGAGAGGATTGCGAAAAACCTCTCCAGAGCTGAAATCACTTGCCTGCCACAGGCACTAGAACATTTCTGCTGCCCCAGAGAGATTTTGTCCACAGGTTGTTCTACCGGTCCCATCACTATGAATTCCAATCCAGTCTTCCCAGCATTCAAACCAGACGAGGAGAAGTGGGAATCATACAAGAACCGCTTTAACCATTATATCGATGCAATTGGCCTGGCAGATGCTGGAGAGCATCGGAAAAAATCGTATTTCCTGATCTACTGTGGAGCCATCATCTTCGATACCGCCACGGCCCTCGTGGCTCCACGTGAGTTGAAAAACGTTCCTTGGTCTGAGCTACTTGAAATCCTCACTAACCACTATTCCCCCAGGCCTTCACAGATTGCCAGGAGATTCACTTTCCGTATGAGGAAGCAATCAGACAAGGAGACCATCAATCAGTATATGGCCGCCCTCAGAACAGCAGCACTGCATTGTGGGTTTGGAACCTACCTGGAGGACATGCTCCTCGATCAACTAGTCTGCGGGGTCAAGGACCTCCACCTTCAAAGGCGCCTTCTCACGAAAAAAGACCTCAACCTCGCACAAGCAGTCGAGGAGGCCCTGGCAGCAGAACTGGCAGCGCACTCAGCCACCGAAATCCATGGCCCGACGGCCAAGATGACGACAATTCCAGTCCACTCCGAGGAGGTGGTAACAGAAGAGACCCTTAGTGATGAAAACGACGTCCACCGCCTCTCCAACGATAGACAGCCGCAGGTAGGAGCCAAACTAGAAAACATCAGTCCACCCAAGCACATCACCCTGTGCCTAGTCCGTGGTGGATCTCATCTGAGGGCCACCTGCAAGTTCAAAAGAGCCACCTGCAATAAC